ATGTTCAGATAATTAGGATTGACTGCCAGAGCCTGCCCTCTCTCTCTCTCTCTCTCTCTCTCTATATATATATATATATATAATCGCATTGTATTTAATGATAAGTCACTCAGTATGTGTGCATTTCTCTGTAAGCATTCATACCTTGTACATGCTTGTGGATTTGCTTGATTAGCGTAAAGCACAATGGATCAATCTCTATTTAATTCTGTTTTATTTTCTCTGTGTGTAGCTCCAGAGCTGGTCCTAAGAAAAGTGATCAACTTTGCTGACTGTACTGTGTGTCTGGACAAGCGGAATGCGAGTGGCAAGATCGAGTTTTATCAGGATCCACTGTTGTACAAATGCTCCTTCAGAACGCGTCTCCATTTTACCTACGACAACATCAACTCCAAGATCCCATCTGTCATCAAAGTGAGCAACTCTAAAGTGTAGCAGTGACTTAATAACTGGCATCATGTTTCCAGTGCTCGAGATCAAATGTTTTGCAGGGGCCGATTTCGTGTCATTGTGCTATTGACCAAACATGTGGGAAAAATGTACATTTGTCATAGTTGCTCACAATTGTCAGAAAGTCATGTGACTTACTTTTGTTGGATTAGCTGTTTTTAAATCAATAGCAGGATAATGACTAATTCCAGTCCTTTGTTTCAATCCAGTGACATTCTGAGTATAAAGGGAAGACAGCTGTTTGTTTTGGCAAGATTTCCCTTCTCACACAAGAGTGACAAGATAACGCTACATATAATATCAGGGGTCACTGAAGTACCGTCAGTGTTTCGCTTTGGCTTAATTGCTTTTTGAAGAGATCTGATGTGATTTCAGTGTATTGTGGTGTACATTTACAATTACAAACACCTAGTCTAGACAATTTTCTCATGTCATGAAGCAACAGCTTTTGAACTACACTAATGATGTTCATGATTCATTTATTAATTTCGAAACAGTAGTAACAGTTTATAATCTAGAAAAGTACTTCTCTGACTACACAATATTCACAGGAAATCCCAATCATTCTTCTGCTCATTGTCAGTGAGACGGTGACAGAAGATAATTGTTGAATTACATATTTGTCTTTTTCTTAATGTAGTAGAGATTTGTTTATGGAATCAGATCTAAACTATTTCTGACTAAAGAAATAGTGAATAAGTAATTATCAACAACAATACATCTTTTAACTGGTAAAACCAATGTTTAAAAGAGATTTGTAAACTTTTGTAGAAAATGGAGAGGCTGTGGTTTATGTTATTGTGCACGGCATTTGTCATCCCTCCACTATTTAACTACAAGGGGTAAACCAATGTTATTTTTCAGGGCCAATACCAAATATTAGTGTTTGGAAACAATTTACATTTGCAATAACAGTAAAAAAAATCTTGGTGTCAGAATTTGGATAACACAAACTCTTGCACAGTTGCAATAAATTTGTTTAGCCTTGAGCATTGATGGCTATCACTTCTGACTTGTAACCAATCAGAAAATTGCTGTTGCTATGAAGAAGAGGCTGCATTACAGCAAACGTAGCATATTTTAGAATTATTGTGTTGGGAATTGGTGAGAAAAAAATGATACTGATGCTGATAAAAATGGATAAAAATCAGATTCAATGATTAGCCAGGCTGATTGGCTGATCCCTAACACTTATGTTTCAATGATTTCCCGTTTATATGTTAAACAGGTTTTTTAAAGAACACTGTATAAAAGTCAAGTGTAAAGGTCACTAACAATCTTTGTGGTTTACTGATGTTTAGGTTTTGAAAGTGCCGTACAGATTTGCATTTGCCACATTAGGGTAGTTGAATCTATTACAGCATGTTAAGCAATAACATGAAGTCCACTTTTGACTGAATTCTGGAGAGCCTGAAGTTGTCCGTTTTGTTATTTATAAATTATAAACACTGTATAATATTTCATACAAACAAATGTGCCAAAGTTTTTGTAGCTTCTGTAAATGAGACGTAAACACACTGGTTCACATTATATGTATTATGTGGCTACATTTGTTTCCATTTGGAAAGACTTCCTTTATCCTGACATTGCTTTTTAGTACTGATTACAACTTTTTCTGTATTGGTACACTATACGATAGCTGTAGGTCATCAAAAAACTTGGTTTAACAAGAGCAGAGATTGTGCCACAACATATATCAGTTAGCAAGATTGGAATCCATACAAGTTCATAATTCTGGCCTTTTTAATTACACATATATAATTTAGGAAACACATATTTACAGTTTGTGGGAGTATCCTATTTTGCATGTAAACACATAATTGACCAAATCAAATGTCAAAATGTAAACTGTCTTTTACATTTTGCCTTTTGTTTTCTCAGATCCAGACCATGGTTGAGAGCCTGAAGTTGTCCATTACTGATCAACAACTACCCATGTTTATCCGAATTTTAGAGCTGATCATTGCTCTCTACTATGGAGAAATTGGAGGTCACAAAGAGGGTGAAGGCGAGGAGGGCGTTGTCAGGGAGGCTGGAACAAGTTTACCTGGTGAGTGAGTTCTCTGAGGCTCTTTCTTCTTTTTTGTTTGTGGCTGAGGGTCCTTCTTTTTGCTAGAATGACTGTCCTATAGTTTTACATTTTTACTTATGTACCAGTCAAGAGGTGTCCACAGCAAAATATATCAATTTTTCACTAAGACAGTTTAATCTTACTGCAGCCAATATTATCAAAATTCACTTTGCAATGATATATGAAGTCTCAATGCAGTTTGTATATTAGCTTGGCCCCAGTACGAGCACTATAACCATCATATTCATCTCAAAACCCATGTGCATGTTGCCTTGTTCTGTTCAGTGACTTTGTCTGTTCATATGCTGTTGTTGTTCCTAAATGGGACATTTAACATTGCTTTGACCATAGTGTGCACTCCTCCTGCTTTTTCCACAAACAAAATTTGGAGCGTGTAACTCTACACAGACCGTTGTCATCAGGCCTGATCGTCTCCATGTGGATGGAGGCAGGAGAGAGGAGGGTAAAGAGAAAAAACAAAGATGAATCAAACATAGGCTCACCTCTGTCTTTTTAATTGAGGCACCATAGGAAATTACACTGCTCACATCCAGGAGCCGAGCAAAACGTATATGCAGTCTGTGTGTCCCATAGTCACATTGTATACTAACATGTATTCACTGAGGTGTATGTAGCCTTTTGCTGTATTTGGATTAAGGCACTCACACATACACGCTTAAACATACACACAAATTTCACACATACAGATAAACTATATACTACTTCATACTACTTTAACAGCTGCAGTTACCCCGTTAAAAAAAAACAAAACCCACCTCATTCCCTAAACGCCCATCTCTTCTCTCCCCAACTGCTCATCCTCATTCCTGCCAAATAGAACAGGATCAAGTCCCAGGTCCCACAGGGCTAAATCAGCCTCTGTAGCACCAGGAGCACATTATGGTTGGGTAGAAGTGATGGGCAGAGGGGAAGGCAGACAGCCCAACACAATACAGCCCATTCGCTTGCTCCTTCTAACTTGCTCCCTGCCTCTTGGCCTGGAACTTTCACTGCAAGTTGGCGCTGCTTCCAGTTCGGTGTCCAATGCCAGATGTAAGAGTCGGTGTCATGCTACTGCTATGCGGAGCCTCTGAGAATGAATTAGTATCCCATCACAAAAATATACAAGAGGGGACCAGTGCTTGGAACCTGAGCGCCCCCAGATCTTGTTATGCTGGAAGTAATCGACAGAGTGAAGAAGCTGAAGGGGGCAGGGGGCAGTTGTGCGTGTATGCACTGTAGTGGGTGGGTGTGTGTATGTTGGGAGGGGTCCGAGCTTGTTCATGAACATATGGTTTCCAGTATATTCATTTCAGATTTAAGGAATAAAGCTGAACTATGCTGAAACTAGTAGAAGAATTATAGCTCAAATTATATCTTTGTATTTATATTGACAAAAAAATAGTTTTCCCACCCAGGACAGAACGCCTTTACTATAGATGGTTTCTGAGGACTACAATTGTATGTTGATACTTGCAGTGACTGACATGGCTTGCTTACATATGTATTAGTTAGTGGGTTGTAGTTTGTAGGAGACAACTGTTGTCACATGATTACTCGAACATGATGCCAATATTGCACATAGTACTTGGTCATAGTCATATGATTTTCTATAGGCTGCTTGTGGTAAGTCTTGGCTCTGTTGCTCTGTGTATATATTTCCTTTATTTACTGTTGCTGTGAGTTAGCTTTCATTTGTGATACTATTGGAGTGATTGAATTCTCACAGTTGTTTTTTTTATAAAATAACTGTGTTTGCGTATGCAGACAAAAGACCGAGACAAAAGTAATGACTACAGTGTGAATCTACCGTGTTACATTAATAAGCCATGACTTTTAATTTAAAGTGTTTCTTTCTAGAACATTTTCAAAGGGAATTTTAATTTCTCCCTCATGTGAAGGTGTTTTTCTTTTTGCCAATTTAAGTGGGAAAAGCCTCGTAATGTGTTTATGTGCTCATGATTCACTGTGGCTGCATGTTGTTTGTTTGAATGTTTCTCTTTTAGGTAAGAGCCAATGTCTCATTAATGAATAGCCCTAATAGGTGAAGGGTGCAGGATACTTGTGTGTCACTAACCAAAGCCACCTTTCAGTCAGGATTGTGTGGCTGGTTTTCCTACTGTCTGAAATTTAGCGAAGTCTGTGAAACGCTAAAAAATTAAACAGCTGGAATCATAGATGACTAACATGCCTGAATGCACCAGCTGGTCACGGCAGTGAAGCTGTACGGTTTCAGCAAGTATGTGAAGAATTATGAACCGAGGACTGGAGCTGCTGAAGTGTGGCAGGGTGTGTGTGCGCTTCCCTGTATAGCATATACAGTATGTGAGCAGTTGAGTGCCTGAAGTTATGTGTTTTTCATATGTGGGCTTTCTGCGCTCTATATGTGTGCATGGGACTGAGTGTTTAGTGCTGGCGTTGAAGGAGGGCTCGTCCTCTCTGTCCCCAGACGCCTGTTGAATGGAATGGACCATCACATGCTAATAAGCCAGAGGCCACAGACTATCCCATTATAAATGTCATGTGGCTCCCTTATTCTACCTCAGGGCATGACAGGACTCCTTTTTAATCATCTTTATACTTTTTTAATTTTATTGTGAAGGGTCCAAACCCATTGAATTTACAAGTCTGTGGCATGGATGACGCTGTTTTTTTTGTCTGGCATAGTGTTAGTTTATATTCTCCGGCCATGAGAGCCAAAAGGGCTTTTAAAACACTTTGACATTAGCGTCACACTAGTAGTATTAAAGGAAAGACAATATTAGACGCACATGTCGACATGTGTTTGATTATTTCTATCAAAGAAAGTAGGCATGTGTACCGAAGTGTGTCTGCATCACTTGTGAGAAAGCGATGAACAGACAGATAACTTTTGGCTGGAAAAAATTAAACAGATGTTTGTGTGAATGCGCAGGTTTAATCATGAAAAAAAAAAAACATATCCTGTATTAAAGCATTGCACTTAGGTACATATTTTTGCATCTATGGTTACTGTCAAGCTTAGCCTGAGCATGTATGCATGTAAGCCCAAACGCACACAGACTCAGCAGATGCTCATGTGTAGGCTTTGCTCTGTTGTCAGGTAACCAGTCCACCTCTCCCTCTATAAACATGGAGGGACATCTACTGGCCTGAGAGGGCACTGCCTTCTTTTACTCCTCCCCTCTCACTGTCTCAGTGTCCCTGAGCTGTTCACCCACTCACACACCCACTCTCTTACTAGCTTTGACATACCCTACCGCTTAAAGACTTTGGACTCAGGGAAACCAACCATGACCCAGACACATCCTATTACACAGCATGTCTGAGCTCTCTTAATGGACATATGCTGACTTACATGGTGCCATGCTTATATTATTTGTTGTATGAAGAAACATCCAGGTATACTTTGGTTGCACTCATGTTAAAGTAGACAACGGGGATATTTTACTCCTGTGATGTAATATTGCTCTACTACATGGCAGCATACATTTTGGCCAGCCCACATCTCTCTCTGGGAATTTTTTCACTCACTTCTTTGGATTAATACTTCAAAGTCTCCTTAAGCCAGTCTGTTTTGATCACTTGATTGGTAATTGTGCTTTTATTTTGATTGCCTTGTAATTCAAACGTAGGCTTCGTCAGGCTGTGACGTGAAGTGAAAGAGCTTAACTTGTTGAACTGACACCTCAAAGGATTCATGGAGTGAAAACAAAAAGGGAAACAAAGAGGAATGAGAGATAGAATTGGACAGGGAGATTGAACTAGAGAGAGAGATAAAAAGCCATAACATGGGATTTCCAGCTGCCAATTCACAAAGTGAAAGATTTAATTAAAATATGTCATAATTTTCACCGCCTTAGCCTCTGGGATTCCTAAGCTGTGACCTCACGGACAATATTGTTTTCTCGCAGAGGACGTGAGGCCATGAGGAATGGGATTACACATTCTTGTGTATTGACATCAGCTTCCTTTATCCCAACGTGTATGGAAACAGACATGATGGGACCAGTTCAGGGGTCAAGATCCGGACCGGAGGAGTGTGTGGTGGTTTGGGGATCCTGTGAACCCCCAAATGATTTTCTGAGAAGAAGGGAAAGATTTGTTCTTGTCTTTTGTTACGCATGGCTCCAACAGGCCAGTTCACTGACTTTCTGCATTAGTTGTACCTGGTGTGCAGCCTGTGGCTTATAGTAGCCAGTGCTCCTGTCAACTCCACACCACCGTCTCAGAACTATTTCGTATAGTTCTGCAACTGACCATTCCTGGCGTTCA